TGATGGTTCCAGCAACAAGATTTTACCTGTTGCTTTTCTTATCACAATGCAGAAAATATTTCGACCTGATTGAGTTAAAACGTTCATGAGCAGGCGAAATTATCAATAGTAAATGAAATTCAAGGACAATGGCTTAGATATTATATTAAATATATGCACCTGGTATATGCAGGGTTTTATTTGGTTGTAATAGGAATATTTACAGGTCATGGAGACCAAAATATTTTTAATAAACAAACAGTTTTACTGAACATTTTCTTAATGTTGTTTTATTACAAGATACAGTTCAAGGTATAAAAAATGCAGGCATTAAGTATACTAGAGGGAAGCAGAAAGTAACACCCATGTGGCAAAACTTTGTAATTTGTGAACTATTAGTATATAATCTGTAAATGTAAGAAAGTTCTTACAGAAAGAAAACGAAAAATTTGGTGAAAGTTAATGATCAAGGGTGAGATTAGCAATACCTAACCCGAATAAGCTCGACTGTGTAAGACCCGAATAATCTCTACCCATATTTAGTCACCTGAGGACAACAGAGTACATGAAGGCCACAAAGTAGCTAGTCGAGTGGAAATCCAGGGAAGCTCGTGGATCGGGAAGTCTTCAGATGCTCTAGGCGTGAGTACAAGTTAGACATGTCACAAGTAGAAGTGTCACTTCACCAGTGCGTAGTTTATGGGTGTACCCATTCATTAAAGCTTTTGACTTTACTTTTGGCTCATGGAGTTCACCCGACCTTACATTGGAATCTGACTTTTGTATGAAGGATCTGATCCTAAATGTATCTGGCTATTTGTTTTTGAATAAGTCAGGAGTTTTCCATTTATTGTTGCTGAATATTCCAAAAAAATTTTCTGTTACTTGATAGATTGCTGGCACAATTGAAGACCATTTCAAAGAGACACCATATTGGATGAAAATGCCTGGCACCCGACCAGTGAAACAGATGCCAGACTTTAAAATCCATCTAGGTTTAAAGGTATGGGAAATGCCCATGCAGAAGTTCCACCAATATGAACCTGCAGTATTGTACTACTTCCCAGTGAATTGTGTAATTATACATATATCTATTCTTTATGTATCTTTTGTTGTCAGTTAGTTCAGTGTATACACGTTAATCTTTTGATGAAATGTTCTGGTGTGTATATGTTGTGTATAATTATTTTGATTATGGATTGATTTTTAATTGTGCATGAGTTTTGTTTTAAGATGCTTTGATTTTGTCATTTATTGTGAAATTGTTATGTTAATGTTCTTATCGTGAAGACTTTTTGTATTCTGTTGATTTCGTTTTGATTAATGTAATGTGTTTGATTTTCTGCATTGTGTTTTCGTTACTTATTTTGTATTTCATTCAATAAAGGATTTTGATCTTGTTTATTTTAAAGTTGTTTGTAACGTGTTAGACAACCCCCTTATAAAGAAAAGTAGGTAATCTTTGTTAATGTTTTTTATTATATATCATCGATTTTAAAATTCCCTTATTTGTACATACATCATTACTTTCCTTAAGACTATTTTTGTCTTTGTAAGTGTATACTTGCATATTTCTTGTTCCTTGTTAAATGGTATTGTTACGTATCTGCTTGTTTCCGGTAAAAATTCCTTTACGAGGATCTTCAGCAATACAAGTCCTTTATTGATTAAACCAGTTTATTCTTCCTCGATACAAACTTTTAGTACACAGTAGTTCCACAACCAGTACGTTTCTCATCACTTTAAACTTAACAACTTTTATAATACACGCTATAAATCACAGCGATTCACAATCTCGATAATTTCGCTCTCGACGAGTGCAAAACACACACTTTACGACTCACTAGCTCGAAACTAACAGAATCATAAATTACACGGAACTCAAAGTAACTACTGCTCTCTCTACATTTATCTCCCCGCTGGCTTTCACTGCCAGGCTTATATACAAACGAAGAGGGCATCTCGAACACACTCGGACTTCCCCGATCATTCGAGAAACTCATAACGCACGCCACCAGCGCCAACGCGCCAGTAGCGTCACGTGACTTCCGCTGTCGTAACAGTATTAACATGTATGTTGTTGAAGGGTATTTTCGTGTAAATATATTGTTGCGTCAGCGAGATCACGTGACTAGTATCACGCCACCCGTTTTCTAGAACTATCCTGTTCCTTCGGGAGTGCTCTAGCATTTGCTAGATTGAGGGTGGACTGGTATATATAAGATGGTCACGGCGTGACGTGACAATGTGTGTAGGTAGTGAGTAATTGAACTGCAGTCAGAAAGTATTGTTGAAGTTCGTTGTTATAGCGTTTGTTATAGAGCGACTGTTGAGAATAAGTGTATCGGTAAAGTTATATTCGGAAAGAATAAACCAGTTTTATTAAGAAAGGAATTGTGTCGCTAAAGTTTCGTGGGAACGAAGTTACGGAAAATCAACTAAAGAACGGAGACGTGACAAATTGGTGTCAGAGAGTGGGACAAAAAAAAATGGAAACGAGAAGCGGCAAATCAAACTACAGCATAGCAGACTTCATGGCAGCAATACAAGAACAGCAAAAGAAACAAGAAGAGAGACAACAGCAGTTGCAAGAAAACCTGCAACAGTGGCAGCTCGAACAGCAAAATAAACAAGAGAGATTACAGCAGTTGTTGGAGGAAAAAGAAAAGAAACAAGAAGAACGAAAAAAGAAACAAGAAGAGAGATTACAGTAGCTATTGGAGGAGAAAGAAAATAAACAAGAAGAGAAATTACAGCAGTTGTTGGAGGAGAAAGAAAATAGACAAGAAGAGAGATTACAACGGCTATTGGAGGAGAAATAAAATAAACAAGAAGAGAAATTACAGCAGTTGTTAGAGGAGAAAGAAAATAAACAAGAAGAGAGACTATAGCAGTGGCAACTGGAACAAGAAAGGAAACAAGAAGTACAAAT